CATTCTTTTGGTCAGGAAAAGACTCTAGTGGACTAGAGAGATGGTGGCAGTGTGTGAATATATCTTCCTCACTTGTATGTCCTGCTCTCACCCCCTTTCTGAAATCCCAAGAAACAAAAGAGGGTGAAAGAGCAGGTCTAACAAAAACAGTGTTGCAGTTAAGACTTCACAGACTTCGCAGCAGCCACAGCTCTGGCTGTAAAACTTAGCGTCATCTTTCTGCTTCATCTTGAAATTGCAGATCAAGGGCAAGAGATCTTCCAAGGCAGTGTCATCTCTGATGCTATATATATTACCAGCTTTCCTCTGAAAAGCTTCCTGGGATTTTCTCAGTGTATGGAAGACTAGAGAAAATGTGCATGTGTTTGTGCTGTGCGGGGCACTGTGACAGAGGGGAAAGATGTTGCTGGTCTCTCACAGATTCTCTTTGCAGCCTTTACCTCTTTCCTTAACTTGTTAAGTGAGAAAGACAGACTAATTCTAGGTTTTCAGTACTGTGATATGTCTAATCACCTGAAATATGTTTGAGGCACAGAAGAAAAAAAGTTTTTATTTAATGGTTTATTTCTAGTGAAAGAATGTGTCAAGGCAGTGAGTTTCTTGCATTTTGCAGAGCTTATCAAGAGAACTATCAGAAAACAGTGATCTCTTGTTGCCTGACATTTTGCTTTATAAGCAGTTTAGCTATTTCTTCAGTAGGCTCTGTTACAACAATACTTGCCTGTCTTACATAAAGCACTTCAAACTAGGAGGAGGGAAGGAAGGTGTTCATTCTTAAAATACTGATCTGTTCTCACTCAAATGAATTTGAGTTACTTCTCCTCCCTCCATTTTTAGACTATATCTTGAATAGATCATAAAATCATAGTCCAGTGTAGCACTTCATCCTCAATTTCCAAGAAATTCTATATGCTACTACTTAAAGTGCTGTGGGCACCATTTTTTATTCCAGTTCCTTTGAGACTAAAATCAGATATCATGTATGTAACTCTAATCTGTTAGCCCTTAGCAAACACTGAGGCTATTAGAACCAAACCAAGCAAACATTTAAACTGTTACAACTAAATGAGCTTTCTAAGTGTTATTGGTTTTTCATGTTGTTAATACCCTACTTATCAGAATATTTTTTGCTGGATATTATATTATTTTATTATGTATTTTTCTCCCAAAACAAGTGTGATTTTCTACTGGTAGGATAACATGTTTTAAAAAAAACCCTCAAATCTAAGTATTTACATTCTTTAGGCTGTGAAATTAGAGACCTGTGATTTTGTATCATAAGGTAGTCAAAGTATGTTATGTTGCATTGGCAACAGAAAAAAAAGATGTCATGCTACAGGTTGATAAATTTGAGTTTTTTTCCTCTCTGTTTAGAGAAATTAACCAGACTGCATGCCTGTGAACCCGAGAAACCACACACACCTGCATGAGTGAGCACTTCTTCCTTCCCCCTGCCTGTTCTGTCACAGAACTTGTTCTGGGTTATGTTTTCTGGTTGCTTTCTGGCTTTAGATCAGGCTGTAAGACCAGGGAATCCTGGAGAGAACTGTGCCAAATACCTCTTTGTGTTCTGCCCTTATGCTCAGCAGCACCATACCTCCTCTTACTTGGGTTTGCTTATCTCTGTGTATAGGTCTTTTGAGGATGGTACAAATGCTGCCAGTGGATGCAGAAACTTGGACCTGATGGTAAATAGCTTGGAAGTTGAGATCCAACTTGTTGTTTGTCAAGTACTTGGCTTTGGTGCCTTCCAGTGGTGAGGCAGTTAGGGTTACTCATCCTCGTGTTGTGGCCCAAGGCGGCTGCTGCGTGAGCTGTGTCCCAGTGCTTTGCCACCCTGGGCTAAGTGACTTCCTGTTGGAACCACTGCTCTGTGTGACATCACGATATGTGACAGAAGGGTCCAGGCTCTCTGCCATCCCCTGTGTGTTCAGACCTACTTCTGAGTGCTGATTCTGGGAAGACTGTTTGAATAACTCAAACTCAGGGGTGTGTCTCAATGTTTAATTATTTATTCAATTTTCCTATCATCCTAATGGTAAAGTTTACTTCCATAACAGTTTACAGATTTTACTTTTGGAGATAATTTTTGGCTTTGGCATCAGCTGAGGAAAGAGGCGATGTCAGTCCCTTGGTAGCATCTGTTGTGGTCCTAGCATGCTGGAAAAATTTGGATTACTTGAAATATGTTTAGCAGTTAAGGCTTGTGACAATTTCCTGGAGGGATCTGTTGCCAGTAGCTGTAGTTAGTGGCTTGTAACACTGTTGGGACTGGTAGCTTCAGCTCAGTGCTAGTTGCCTTTTTTTTAATTTTTTTTAAGTTTCTGGTGAATATAAAATAAGCTTTTTGGAAAAGGCAGCAATATGGAACAGATTTGAAACTGTGTCTATAAGCTTCTCTTGGCCACTTTTTCTTTATTTGCTGGTTACAGATTTTGAGCTTGTATATCATGAAAGGGACCAAGACTGCTTGGGGGACAGGGGGGGACTGTGGTGTGTTTTCAGGGTAGAGAAAAGGGAAGCAGAAAAAGAGAGTAAGCACAGGGAAAAATGTGTGTGGCAGCAAAGAGCCTGTATGACTGTCAGGGGCAGAAGTCATGCTTTGCAAATTGTTAGGTATCTTTTGAAATTGGGAGGGGGAAAGAAAAGGCACGTGCTATTTAAATAGCATTTAGGTACTAGGTACTTGATATACTTTTATTTAAGGAAAAAAAAGTTGAGAAGGTCTCTAAAACTTTCTTTTTAATGTCGAAGACAAAGACTTAAGAGCAATTGGTCAGTTTTAATAACAGGAAGAGACTAATGGATTAGATTTTTAAGGGATCCGTGCTTGGGGTACAGTAGTCAGTATTTTCATAAATGTTACCTTGCTGATAGTTCTCAGATCACAGTTTGCTCATGAAACAAAACCACTCAGAATAGTTAGAACTAAAGCTTAACCGGAAAGCATTGCTAAAGGGAATCTGTTATTTTGACTAGGACAAGACATTTTTTATTCATGAATGTAGTGGGGTTCATTTGGTATGTGAGGAAATCTAAACAAGGCAGGTAAATACTTGATGATTTCAAAAATCTATCACAGGAGAAACTGTTAGCACAGCAATGACTAGAAAAGTTACAGCTAATGTGAGAAACTGGTGGTAAAGGCTTTAAGAGCAAAAGAGCAAACATGCCAGTGGCATCTTCACATTTTTAATAACAGTGTAGTGTTTGTTTCATCCATCACAAAATGTGCAGTAGATCAGTGATGGATATGTGAACAGTACTGGCCAAAAATACAGAACAGCACCTATACCCTTGAAAGCAAAATGCTTTAGCATAGAAATTCTGTGCAAGAGGTGGGGAAGAAAAGGGGTATGATAAAAGTTAGAAAGTTACAAATGTTATGTAGAGCTGAACAAGAAATTACTATTTCCTTTCTTTCAAGGAATATAATTTATTATTTTTTCTTAGGCTTTGCTTAGAAGAATATGCTGTGACACCTATGTAAAAATTTCTGATGCACAGTGGGCAGTATTAGCAAAAGTGTATCTAAATGTTCAGTAGAAGGGATTCTTGACCTCTGCTTGGCACCATTAACGTCTGAATTACTGTGTCCAGTTTGGGACTCATCCCAAATACTCACACAGTGGAGAGAATCTGATGGAGAGTCTCCAAAACGGTTAGGAGGCTGAAACAAATGCTACAGATGAAGAGGCTGAGAGGTTTGATTTCTTCATTCTTAGGCTAAGAAAGGCAGGGATATTGCTGTTTTCAGTGACTGAATAGGGAGGTCTAGCAAAGGAGGAGCCAGAGGCAACTCAGCAGTGCACCTGCCAGGGATGGGAGGCAATGGACAGAAGTTGCAACACTGAAAATCCTGATTGAGATGTTGAGAAATTTTCCCCCTCTCCCACAGTGAGGTTAATCAGACATTGGGAAAATTGTTCAGAAAGGTGGTAGAAAATCCAGCCTTTGAAAATGGCCCCTATAACAGTTCGACTGGACAAGACCACAAACAATCTGATCTCACTTGCTCCTGTTTGAACAGGAAATTTGACCACTAGGTCTTCTGAGGTCCTTTCAAAGATGAGCTGTTCTGTAATGCTGTGGCGTTGTGGAAGACAAAAACATAAAGCTCCTAAAAAGGCAGTGAATAGGTTCACAAGGTAAAAAAAAAAAAAGTATATCAATAGCTGTTTAATGTTTATCCAGGAAGAACATCCATCTGTCTCCATACTTTTTTCTTATATCTGGAAAGAACACACTGCAGTTGATATTCCTGGCCCAGTTTGATACCTGACTCTATGTTTGCCGAGATACAGAGCAGAATGACTGATGAAACTGACCCCTGCTTGCCATGGATTCCCACTGCTGCTTCTCACTTCTCCGGAGAGCTTTTAAAACAAATCACCAGCTTGCCTCCACAAAAAAACCAAACCAAAACACCAAAACCAGAACAAAAAGCATTAGTTTAGACCTTGCATGTGATGGACACAATGCTGGGGCAAGTGTGGGAAGCCTTAAACCTTCTGTAGAACTTCAGTGCTGTATTCTTTTTAAGGGTCTAGTGTTAGTGGTGGATACTGGGCTAGATAAATCTCTGGTCTGACTTGCCATGCCTTTTTCTTCTTTCTTTCCTATCCTTTTTTCTCTTTTATTCTCCCTTGGGAAATAAAAAATAATGAATGGCTGTTTAATGTAGCTTAAAAATTACTTTGTTAATCAAATGACAGTTAATTTTCTGACAAGTCAGTGAATGGGAGAATTTTCCATCCATCCCCTTTGTTGCCAGTGTCCAGAAGAAGTTGCACTGTCAAGTAATAGCAGCTATTTCCTGCCTTTATATTTATTACAGTTAGTGATGAATCACAAGAAGTAGTTTGTGTAAGATTTTCTTTACTGCCTGTCTAAATGCATCTGAAACAAACCCACAAAGATCTACAATTCTTATTTGTTCTGTTAACATGCAGCAAATACCAAGTTCATCTGTTCGTTTGTTTGTTTTTCCCTTGCAGCATAAGCAGCACTATCATGGATGTAGACAGCACAATTTCCAGTGGGCGTTCGACTCCGGTGATGATGAACGGACAAGGAGTTCCCGCCTCCTCTGCCAAAAGCATTGCCTACACCTGCTGTTGGGACCACTGCCACGCCTGCTTCAGCTCCAGCCCGGATCTGGCAGATCATATTCGCTCCATACACGTGGATGGTCAGCGAGGAGGGGTTGGTTGCTTTTTTTTCTCTCTTCTGTAGTTGCCAATATTTTACTCTTTAATGACAGTTGCGAATTTTAGATTTTAAAGTACCAGTTCCGTAGCTAGTGGTAACCAAGGTTGGGCCTTCAGCAGCTTGCTCTTGGGCGTTCAGCTTTGCACAGTTCACTTGATTTGGTGTTCTGTGTTTTTAATTGGCTGCTTAACTTTAACAATGTAGTAGATTCATTTTTAATAAATGATACAAAGCTACCAGGGTTTTGACAGGTGTGTTAACTTCTCAACATCCGGAAGCTATTGGTGTATCTTAAAGTGGTTATACTTGGAATTCAAGTCCTTACAACTTCTCAGAACGTATTAGTATATGTTCTTGGTATATGTATTCACCTGCAGGTGAACTCGGGTGGAGTCACATCTTGATTATTTTTACAAATACACTCTCACTAGATGTCAAATATATACAGAAGATGTAAGACTCATTGACTTGTGAGTACAAAATCTTAATAAACAGCTCTGTCTGTAGTGCTGATGGCAAGTATACCTTGAATATTATTGCATCTTTATTTTTTAAAAAATTGAGTTGCATGTAGAATCGTGTATATTCCAGTCTAATCCATGGTCAAATGATGCAATTGCTGTTTGTGTCACAATTCTTATGTTTCAAAACGTCTTCCAGTAGAGTAATCTCAACTCTGTACTTAACTACCTGCCCCTCCCCAACCTCCCAAATGAACTTTTTGATGCTTGGAATACATCATGTACACTACCTCTGTGTCAAACACAAAGCTGTCTGCTTGTTGCTCTGTAGTTTCTTGGAGAGCTAATATCAAATCCTAAGCTAGATTAATCATTCTCTTTTGATTTTTTGTCCTCTCACTTCCCCAGAAGTAAAATGTTAAGCCATTACACGTCATCTTGAGTGATTTTTTTCCTGTTCAGTTCCGTTCCATTCAACAGTTTCTGGATATTTTTATTTAGAAAACGTTAGACTGAATTTGTCTCTCTGAAAGAGGAGGTTGTTGGAATCACCAGGTGTCATCTCATAACTGTTGGATTCAGTTCACGCTTTTAGCCACCTACTGGAACTGGTTTATTTTTTGAAAAGTTCTTCAAGTTGATGCAGTGGAAGGGGACTGATGCTGGATGATTTGTTTCAAGGATTTTTCTGCCACCTGCTGGTGAGGTGTTTAAATGGTGTTAGACATTACATGTTAGACATTACATGCTTGTGCTTTCGACTGGATTTCAGGTATTAATTACAGTGACTATACATTTGAAGAAAAGTAAGGATAGTAATGGCTTACACAGAAGTTAAGAGCAGTGTGATAAGCAGCCTTGTATGGTAAAAATGTATATTCTCAGGCTAATGCTGAGATAATGGCTCCAAACCAGATAGGTCCATGAAGGGCTGAGGAAACTTGTCTTAGTTTTACTTCCCCAAAATTTTTTTTTTCAGAAATATTTTAGATTCAGCCTTTTGACAAGGGCTCCCAAGAAGCCTTGCCTGGACTTCTGTTGGGTTGTTGTAAAACCAGGTGCTTGTTTTTTGGATTCATTGCATTTCTACAGTCTGTAACTTCATAGTAATACACCCATGCTGAGTGCCCTGCAGTTGCTGATGGAAATGCTGGGACAGTTACAGAGCTGTTGCAGAACCAAGAATCTTGGATATTCCAATTCTGTGGCTTCAAGGCAATCTTAAAACTGAGGAGCAGCAGACACAAAAGATTTAGGGAGTTGGGCCTTATGTGGGAGTAGTTCTGGATCAGTCATACAGACATGCAGGGCTTTCCAGCTCTGTAGTAGTAAGCTACATTATCTATATATTAAACAGTGACTACGTAGCACTCCTGTGGCTGGTCTTTTTTTTTTAATACAATCTTTTGAAAACTGAGATTTTTAATCTCCAAAAGAGAACAAGAAACTGAAATCCAATTAGTTTCCTGCAGTTCTGAAAACCTGTATTGTGCACAGCGCTGTTTCTGGGGGCTGTATTTTGCTGCTACAAATTAGGGCTATACCTCCCTCACACACAGACCTGTTGAGGAAATTCTAATGAACAGCAGGTTCATTGAGCTTTTTTATTCTTTTGGTTATAGACAGACACAATGAGAGGAGAGAGAAAAGCAGCATGAGTAAGTTCTGCTTGCCTTTAATGCACTATTGTGCATGTGACTGATCTGTACACTGGAATCACAAAACATTTGTAGATTGTGAATGCTGTGAGAAATTGTAACTTTCTTCATCAGGAATTAAGTAGAATGCCCTAACTGGAGGTATCCAGTATTCCACAATACAAAACTCTGCTTTCTAAAACTCTGTTGTAAGCGACAGTTTTTACTTCTTCATGCTCAAAGAATAAAATTATTAATTGCTTATGTGGGTAAATAATTTTAGTTCTCTAACTGCTACCCAGAAAATGTAAATTTATCATGAAAAAATGTTCCATCTTGGTATCTGGTGGATACAGGTATTGAGTGTAAACACAGACCTTTTACAGTGGATGCTGTGGCTGTCAGTCGTGCCTATCTGCAGGAGTATCTGGGGTTTGATATTTTATTCCAGTGACTTGTTTTTTTGAATGCTTGCAGTTACCATTATTTTTTCCTTGATGAGATATGAGAAGTGTGTTGCAAATAAAAGGTTATTGTTCAAAATTGGTTGAAATACTTTGTATTGTGAAAACAGGCTTCTTTGCTCATCTGTGTTTTTTGTGTTTGGTTTTGTTTTGGTTTATTTTACTGTTTTCTTTGATTTGTCTAAACTTACGACGTTTTTACTCTGTTAGGTGTTTGTTTGCTTGTGGAAAGGTTGCAAAGTATATAATACACCTTCAACAAGTCAAAGTTGGTTGCAGAGGCATATGCTGACACACAGTGGGGACAAACCTTTCAAGGTAAGGTTTCTTATAAGGTATGGAATCCCTTATTTTAAGAGCAATCCTATTCATTTTTTCTGATAAAAATATATTGGGGCAAAATGTCATCACAAGAGGATTTCTTAAAAAGTATCCAGTGAGCTGAGCCTTTGTCTTTGCAATAATAGTGCCCAAAGGTCCTGTTCTGCTGTGAAGACAGGTGAAGATACTGACATTGCTTCTCTATCCCTGTTTCTTTTTATCACTAAGTGGTAGGTGAGTGTAAAACTAAACAGTGCTGAAGTTCAGTTTTTTAATGTATTTTATACTGTAACAGTGAGGTTAAATCTCTTTTTACCTCATGCCTTACATTCCCACATTAAACTTTGGATCATGCCTGATGGTGCACATTCTATGCTTGCACAAGAGCTGATTTTGTTAACAAAATACAGTTGAAACACAGTCAGTGACTATGGTTAACCTCTCTGAGAATAATAAGGAAGTCAGGAATGCAGGACCATTGAGCTGACTGTATTTCCTGCTTAGTATTTTCTAACTTTCTCTTTCTTTCTCCCCCTAATCTGTACCTGCAATTCTAGGTATAGTAGTGTTTCTCATTCCCATATCCACCAATCCGTTATTAATGAGTTGCTTCATCCTCTTATGGATACAGTTGGGGCAGTTCATAGCTGTCAGTCCTGGATCACTTGATGGTAAGTCCCACCCACACTACTTCAGACTGAAGTTCTCCTTCCATGTAGGATATTGAAATGAATTAGGGTATTTTTTAAATTTAGGTAGCATTTTATGTCTTCCTCTCCCCCACCTGAACCCCAGCAACTTTTAGTCACTGTTTCTCCACTTCCTCTTCTCTCTTTTTCTTCTCAGGTAATTTTTTTTTTAAGTTTTATTTTAAGGTAGCTTTATAACTAAAAAATACTTTTCTGTTATATTGATGTCTTCCAGAAGTTACTTCTGCATAGCTTATAACGGTAGTTAATGACAGAAAACAAAACTAAACTCAAAACTTAGAGACTAAAAATAGTGCATTTCATGTGAAAAAGGGTTTTTCTTTTTATAAAGATTAGACTTTTTTCCATACTGAACTGTGTAGTTTAGTCTGAAAATTTCTGAATGAGAGGGTGAACAACAGGAAACTTGGTTTTGAGGTTATCGTACCCTTTGTTCAAAGAAAGAAGGTTAGCATGCTCTTGAGAGCATAGCATCAGGGTTGTAAATCCCTGAAAGTTTGCAGATATGATTGTTCCAGCAGCTGATCTAATCTTAAATGATAATCCCTGAATAAAATAAAACCAAACCAAAACAACCAGTCATCAGAGACAACTTGTACCTTAGGTTTTCCCATTTTGGAATTGAATATTTTATATATGTTAAAGTATAATGGCAAGCTTTGGTCTTGAAGAAAAATCTTTCAGTAGGGTGATTTGTGTATCTGTTTGATCTAGATCAAAACCTCTAAATTTGGGAGACATTTGGTTTAAAAAAAGATGGACATAGCTCAGAAGTACTAGTAGTACTTTTGAGTCTGTCAGAGTTACCCAGCAAAGTCAGTATCAAACTAGTAAAGCCTAGCGTATCAAACTAGCAAAGTATATCAAATTGGCAAAGTTGGTACCCCAGTTTTCTGGCTAGGCTGGCAACAGCTTGAGTTCTAAAAATTTAAAACAATTCTGATATTACTCATCTTGTGTTAAATCTGTGTAATTTCACCAGCTGATGTTCTGTACTTTCTGGTCATACTAAAGAAAGAACAAAACACAGGCTAGAATTGCAGTAGTTAATCATCGTGTGTCACTTCAGCATTTTTTCCTACTCTTGTCTTCAGTCCCTCTGTTTGTTTTTTATCTCCGTATTTCTCAATCTGTTCCTGGGGGCTCTGAATGGAGGATAATTGTGGTCTGAATAGAATTTTGTAACATCTTTTGTTCCCTTGTCATTTATGGTGAACATAGGCTTCAGGGCTCACATGAGGTAGCCAAGTATGTAAGTGTCTGTGTTAGCAACCTATTAATTAACTAGCCCTCTTTCCTTGCTTGCTTCTTTTCTTTTACAAGCTTTTGAAATCTACTGTCTGATGCAAAACCACTTAAGGAAGCGTTGGATATTAGTCTTGATCAGTGCAAGAACAGCCATTACTGTTTTATGGCAGTCATTCAAAAACAGAGCAAATGTTTCTGTTTGGTTCATTTAGCTGTTCTTATAAATCAGAATTTCTCACTTTTTAGGAAAAGACAATTTTTTTTCAAGTCAGACTTAGTTTAAGAACCTCTTGTTCTTGATGATTATTGCAGACAAAATATCTCCCAAAACCTAAATTACAAATGAAATTTGTGTTGCCTCATGAGAATATACTTGAATTCTAGCATAAAGAGGAGGAATCTGCCATTTTAGAGAACTTGCTGAAAATACCTATTCATTCAGTGTTTTGTTTTGTTGGGTTTTTTTTAAAAAACTAAGTGAATGTCAGGATTTTTGAGGAAAGCTGTAAAAGGCAGTAATGGAAATAGCTGTATGCTGTTGCCTGAAAAACAGCTGTGCAGGATGTTATTACGAAAGGCAGAGTGTTAGTTAGGCAAGTGGCAATTAACAGCATGGAAAAATTACTTTTGTGGAGGTAAAAGAACACTATACTCCTACGAAGACCAGAGGAGCGTAATAAATACATTACTCAGGTTGCTGTATTCTTTTACTTCCAGCCAAAGCAAGACACAAAAGTATTTTCTTAAATTGAAAGGCAGCTGGGGACTGTCTGAGGCATAAAGCTGTCCTTTGCGTTAGATTCACACTGCTGAAGGGTATGTCCCTGTCCTCTCACCCTTCTCCTTGCAAGTGGATGCATTTAATGTAGTTGCCCATTTTGGGTTTAATTATCTATTTTTGTGATAACACATGGTGCTGTCTTTTGATTAAAAGCTATATCCAGCTGTAAATGAGCTGCTGTGCTTTCATATTAAAAGGTCTATGGGTTTACGTGCCCTTTCCATGCATCCATATAAACTGTGTGAACTCTGTAGTGCATTTATCACAGAAATGAACCCACTTCTAAATTACAAAGGCAGATATTTTTCTAAGTTTCTCCTGTTGTTTTATGTTGAACACAGGGATGGATTTTTTTGCTTTTAAACTTTTATTACTGATAAAGTGTCTTTTCATAGTGCATCCACTGATCCATCCACCAAAGAAAGTGTCTATTAAATGAGACATGGTTACCATTGCAGCTAGTTCTCAGTCTGTAGTCAAATATGCTTCTGCAAAGCAGCACGCTTCCCCAGTCCTACCTTTGGCAAGCAGCATCCCCTGGATTTGTTTTCCTGTCAAGAGGAACAAACTGGTCTTGCAGAACATGTTTCTGATTGAGAACTTGGCGGCTGTCTTCCTTGGCCCACTGTTGAGCATATCTGAAGTTATGCTGCTCCTTTTAATACCTGAAGTTCTTAGCTGTTGTGCTGCTGGAAGTTTTTTCTTTGGTTATTACAGACTGACTCTAGTCATCTTTTTTTTTTTTTTTTTGTTATTGTAGTCATTCATTTGGTTATAGATATTCTCGCAAAACATGTAATTTTTTTCCTCTCTGAAGACATTTAGTATATTCATGTTTGTGTATGATTTTAAGTTCAGAGTTGAGTGAAAAAACTAAACCTTCTTTTTTAAATTCTGTTATTATGTAGTTTTTGCAGCCTTTTAGAAACTGTTGGAATGTTTTGGAGTATCATCAACATGTAGTGGTGACTCTGTCCAGGGATCAGCAGCTTAAAAACTTCCAGGCTTTCAGAACATGTAGAAAGTGAATGTAGAGGAGTCATCTGCCGAGTTAGAAAACCGATGCTGCTAACTGTCTTTGGCAAGCTGAGAAAAACTGGTTGAAGAAATTCAATCTTACTTGGCTGTTACAAACAATAAGTATTTGAGTAGTTGATATGCTGTGACAACCTGCATTGTCTAGCACAGTTTCTGGTACTCAAAAAAAAAAGTGCTACTCACCATGCCTTGTCGCTATACAAGGTATTGAAAGTTAGTTGAAGAGGTATCAAATGAGCTCTTAAAATGTAGTCTAGGTGACCAAATACAAGATGTTAGGCAAAATGAAAGGACAGATGATAGGGTGAGCACAAAACAGTGGAAGATTTTACTCATAATAACTGCATATAGCAATCTTCTTTAAATATAAGACTGCATGTGAGTGTGCTACCAACTGCTTTCACATACTGATGCCAGTGACTTTGCCCTTAATGTTTAAGATCAGTCATGCAAGGTTTGCGCCTGTGGGGTAAATGCTTTTAAAAACAAGAAGTGTTGGTACACAGGTTTGTTGGAGACTTTCATCTATTGTTTAAAAGGAGGGAAGAAAGTAATAATGGAAATGAAATTTGGTGCTTGTTCTAGCACCAGCATCTTCTAGAATTCATTAAGGGGTGACAGCATTTGATACAACTCTCAGTAGGGCAACACTGGTTGAAATGTAGAAAACAGCCAAGCAGCTTCAGTCCTCATTCAGCATTCAGGGCTGTTAGTCTCTTGACAGAGTTTATTCTGTCCATTAGAGCATTGCAGATGCAGATAGAAAACGTAAAGGCATTCTGCCTGAACACCTAAATGTTAAGACAATATGGAGGTTTATCCAGATGTCTGAAATAATACTGTTAGATTTATTGCAAAAATTACACATTGAATAATCTAAAAAGGAGATTTTGTTATTTTGAATTTAGAAAAAAATCTGTATTGCCAGGTATTTTTATATCCTGTTTGTCAAAGACACTGGTCATTACTGCCCATGAATAACGGTGGGTATGGGTACACTGGAGAAATTAAACTTCTTACATGTTGACTTATTTTCTCTTGAAGTAACATATCCACCAATCCGGACCCAATCTATCATATTTAAAATTGAATACAAAATTTTGAAATTTAGGTTTTGGGGGAAAAATGACAAGATTGGTTTAAAGCTGTACATAAGTGTTGAGTTTAATTTATTAGAAGCCCTCTAGAGCTGTATAATTATCTGGTGGGAAGCTGATTTGGTGTGACTTACCGTCCAGAGATCCTGAAGTGACAGCCTGAACTGCTCCTTTATCTTTGGAGAGAAGAGACTTTACCATTAGTAACGGATTGCTGGATATATTATTTTAGAGAAAAAAAAAAAAAAAAGAAAAAAGGTAAGATTTTTTTCTCCTTCTCTACTATTTCCTGACTACTACAAAGGCATTCTTTGTCATCTTTGCTATATCAGCTGTTGTTCATTTGATGACATGATCAGGAAGTCTCAAACTGCACAATATCTGAATGTAATGATTTCTGCAAGTACTTATAACTATGGCTTTCTGGAAGAAGATAATTTCTAGTTGAATATATTGAAGATTAAAGGTGCTGGGTTTGGGCTTTTGAAAGGAAAATTTGTGTAGAGCAAGAGAAGTAAGAGGTAGCCTCTGTAGATAGTCTGTATAGAGTATCTGGGATTGCTTTCTTTGTAGATGACTAGACAGAAGTTCAGCTATGACATTGAGTAAAACTGCAGTTGGTCGTAAAACAGTGTTTCCTGTCTAACAAGACATACAATTAACTCCTACAAACTTGTGTTTTAAAAAGTTTTAGAAATGTACCTGACATTCTTTTTTTCAGAGGGTATTGCTTTTTGATATTACGCTTTGATAAACTTTGACTGTGGTAACACATGCACTGTAAAAAGACTAGGTTATTTTTCATCTCTGGCAGACATTGGCAAGACTGAAATGTTAATTTCTTGGTGTGATTGAACTTCAGGGTATGGGGAGTTTCCACTTGTTTTCTGTGAGTGTAGGATCAGAAAGAGAAGCTGAAGTAAGGTGCACCTCAGTGAAAGTTGAACCTAAGTTTAGATTTAGTTTCTTAGTTCCATTTAATGAAACTGCTTTTATGGGCAACACGGCTATTTCAATCACTTAAACTGGAGAACCTGTATTTGTTGATTGTGAGTTTGATCATCTTTAATGCATCTAAATTGGGTCAGTTTCAAGGTCCTATTGGATGAGGCTTTGACCAACCTAATCTAGTAGAACCTGTCTGTACCAATGGTGGGGAGTTGGAACTGGGGGATTTTTTTTAAAGGTCCTTTCCAGCTCAAACCATTCAGTGATTCTCTTAAGTGTAAATTTTTGTCTTCAGTATTAATTTGAAGTAATATCTATTGCGTTGATAGTACTGTAATGTAAATGAGATCAGGATCTTAAGTGTTTTGAATTTCATAGTTGTGCTGGGATTTCTTAATTGTTAGTAACTGCAGTGTAAGTATACAATATTGCTGCTGTTTGAATTTGAGGAATTATAGGGCAAGGTAAAAAGGTGTAGGTAGGTTTTTCATAAAAATCTTCACAGTCCTTAAGATATTTAGTAGTGAGGAAAATAAGAAGGAACAAATACAATGTGAAGGATCCTAAAGCTTTTAGTCAGGAAACTATATGTTTGTAGTTAGTTCAGTACTTGGAAACCTTCACTTCCTGTAAGGTTCCCCCCCTCCCTTTAAAAAAAAAAAAAAAAAGTAAAAAAAAACGTAAAAATTCTCCTAGATTTTGTTGTGTATATCTTTCAAGACAGTAAAAGACATGTTAGTGCTATAGCAAGTGTTAAGTCCTCTGGGGTAACGAAAGGTTTTCCTCTTCGTGGACGCTATATTGTTTTATGATGTTCATGGAAAAACATATGCTGAGTCTGAGGCAAAAAGTAACTTTTCAAGTCTGCAGCCACAAGTGGAAAACAAGACAATTTGGCCTTAGGGAAAAAACATGCTGATTGGTGTTCTGCTGGTGTGTTTTCGTTTGTTTGGGTTTTTTTTGTCTTTAAATCAAATGTGCAGAGGCCTGTGTTAGGACAGATTACTGCAGGATCTTGCAAATTCATCCTTAATCTTCAGAGAAAACTTAGCACTCTGTACGCAGTTGCAGCATGGCTTATTCCTGAAGTCCTCTTGGAGCTTTCTTGTCCATTTGCTGTGAAGGGAAGTGCTAAAGAGGAGAGGTACAGCTGAAAGAATGGAGGAGGAGGAGCAGAACAGATGTGGAAGAAGTGCTTTCCAATGGGTTAGAGTCATGATGGGTTTTTTGCTGCTGGCTGATCAACTCACTTGGCCTACTACTATTCTCTGGATCAGAATAACAATTATTTATGTGGCTAGACAATTCATTGCAGCCAAGGATGGAACACATATCTTAAAATAATATTTACATTATCTTTGTAAGCTGAGAGTACGAGAGAAAAGGCTGTGCCTGCCTCCTCAAGAGTATAATTTAAATGCTTATCCTTGTAAATATAAACCAGATACTTATAAAAATACCAATAATTACTGTGGTTGCTAGGAGCTTAGTTGCACGTATCTTGTGATTTTTGTGTTTCTACTTAAATACTGTTGGATCTTTTCTTACTTTTCTGTTAGAGAAAGGCCATTTTCTTTAAACAAGAACTATCTGAAATATTTCTGAAGTAATAGTAGCATCCCAAAATAAATGCATAAATAATTGGTAAAATGGCTTTGAAGTTACTGAAGTTAAAGTTTTGGTCAGAACTGTAAGATAACTATTTATTGACTTTGTATAGCACTTAAAAAAATCATTAAGCTGTTTCCAATTTAAAAAAAAAAAAATGCACCATTGCCCACATTAATTCTGCCTTGTCAGAAGAAAGGAGGATGCTAGAGAACGTTACTGTTATGAAATGCAGAAGATCAGAGAGCTGTTGAGAAATACAGAATAACAGTGCAGTATTTAGAGAGACAGGTCCATGAAGGGGAAGATTCTTCAGAAGCATTTATTTTATGTGGGAAGAGTTCATCAGTGCATTGTTTGAGCTTGGTTATATGTCATGTAATAGTATAGAACATAATACAACACAGAAATTATGTGACAGAGTAATTATTAAGCGTTATAAAGTTCAGATAGAAATTTATTTTAGATTGTTTCTGTTTTTCTTTTTAAGAATTGCATGGTCATTAAGAGTTTGTCTCTTAGTGTGTTGAGGGTGAATCAGGAAAGTCAGATTGGAAGATCTGTTGAACTCCTGTGAGTGGGTGCCGTATAGCATGCTGACAGAGCTGTTCTGGTTTTTCTCATCAGTGTGTAGTTGGTGGGTGCAATGCCAGCTTTGCATCTCAGGGAGGACTTGCCCGTCATGTGCCCACACACTTCAGCCAGCAGAACTCTTCAAAAGTTGCCAGCCAGCCAAAGGCCAAAGAGGAATCTCCATCTAAAGCTGGAATGAATAAAAGAAGAAAGTTAAAGAACAAGAGACGACGATCATTACGTAAGTATTTCCAGAAGTAGAAGTTGTTGAATGTTTTGTCCAGGACAGGAATTGCTCTTCCATTTTTGTTGGTTGTTTCTCTGCAGATGTGAGGCTGGTAAGGTTCATGATTGTTAGCATTACAGTGTGGGCCTCCCTCATGGTGGGAGGAAAACAATTGCAGGTTCTGTTTGTGTTCTCTTTTTAGGGTGAAGCATCTACGTGTTCAGTAGAAAAGATTGTGTTTCTGTGAACCATGGTTTGCATTTACAATTTAAAGATGCTTTTCATTTTAGAGTAGTTTTTTATTTACTTGGAATCATAGAATTGTTTAAGTTAGAAAAGACCTTTAAGATCATTAAGTTTAACCATTAAGCTAACTCTACCAAGTCTACTGCTAAACCATGTCTTTAAGTACCATATCTATATGACTTTAAAACTCGTTTAGGGATGGTGGTTCAACCACTCCCTTGAGCAGCCTGGTCAAGTGTTCGACAGCCTTGTGAGTGAAGAAATTTTTCCTGATATCCAACCTAAACCTCCCCTGTGGCAACTTGAGGCCGTTTCCTCTTTGTCCTTTCAGTTGTTACATGGGAGAAGAGACCAGCATCCACCTTTCTACAGTCTCCTTTCAGGTAGTTGTAGAGTGTGATGAGGTCTCTCTGGAGCCTCCTCCAGGCTAAACAATCCCAGTTCCCTCAGCTACTTCTCGTAAGATTTGTGCTCTAGACTCTTCACCAGTTTAGTTGCCCTTCTCTGGACCTGCTCCAGCACCTCGTTGTCTTTCTTGTACTGAGGTACCCCAAACTGAGCACGGTACTCCAGGTGTGGCCTCACCAGTGCTGAGTGCAGGGGGATGATCGCTTGCCTGATCTGCCAGCCACGCTGTTCCTGACACAGGCCAAGGTAGTGTTGTCCTCTGGCCACTTGGGCACACTGCTGGCTCCTGTTTAGCCGGTTGTCAATCAGTACTCCCAGGTCTTTCTGCTGAGCAGCTTTCCAGCTGCTCTTCCCCAAGCCTGTAACACTGCATGGAGTTATTGCGTGTGGCACGGGGCAGGACCCAGCACTTGGCCTTGTTGAAGCTCATACAGTTGTTCTTGGCCCACCAATCCAGCCTGACCAAGTCCCTCTGAAGAGCCTTCCAACCCTCAAGCAGATCAATACTTCCACCCAACTTGGTGTTATCTGCAAAGTTACTGAGGCTGTCCTCAATCTCCACATCCAGATCATTGATAAAGATATTAAACAGAAGTGGCTCCAGTACTGAGCCCTGGGAAACACCACTTGTGTCCAGCCACCAGCTGGATTTAGCTCCATCCACCACCACTCTTTGGGCCTGGCCATCCAGCCAGTGTTTTACCCAGCAGAGTGTACACACGTCTGAGGCATGAGCAGCCAGTTTCTCCAGGAGAGTGCTGTGGGAGACAGTGTCAAAGGCTTCACTGAAGTCCAGGTAGACAACATCCACATCCTTTCCTTCGTCCCCTAGGCAGGTCATCTTGTCATAGAAGCAGATCAGGTTAGTCAAGCAAGACCTGCCTTTCATAAGCCCATGCTGACTGGACCTGATGGCCTGGTTGTCCTGCATATGGTGCATAGTGGCACTCAAGATTATCTTCTCCATAACCTTCCCTGGCACCAAGGTCAGACTGACAGGTCTCTAGTTCCCTGGATCCTCCTTCTGGCCCTTCTTGTAGATGGTGTCACGTTTACTAAGCTGTAGTCTGCAGGGACCTCCCTGGTTAGCCAGGACTACTGATAGATGGTAGAAAATGGCTTGGTGAGCACATCCACCAGCTTCTTCAGTACCCTTGGGTGTAACCCCAGTTGCGCAAGTTGTCCCACCATGTTTCCTTGATGGCAACTATACCATTGGCCTCCAGCTCCTTCTCTTTGTTGCCCTTGCTGCGTGCGTTGCTGTAGATGTACTTCAGCTGGGCTAATGGTCCCGCCACCTTCTGGGAGAGGGGAGAAGCCCTGATGCCTACCCGATTGTTCTCAGCTAGTTCTATGGCTACTAAACTAGCAATAACTCTTGTGACTTTGCTGTCACATGGGTCACCATCCCCCACCTCCACTGTGACAGCAGACTGAAGGCCCTTACTGGCACACTGTCCCACAAGCACTGGCATTCTGCTCCCAGGCTCCTTTCAGCAAGCCCGTTTTCATCCCCACCCCCCTTCCAAACTAGTTTAAAGCTCTTTCCATGAGCCCGCATAATTCTTGTCTTATTTTTCCAGAACTCTTGAGGCAGAACACTTGGCTGTATTGGTCTTTCAGCTCCTGTGAAGAAATACAGTTACCCTTTATTCAAATAGTACTGCAACAATTGATACCTACACCAGGGGTCTGAGTTGATTATAGCATGATTGTGATTATTCTTAATACCTCACCTGGGTTTTAAGCAGCTGAAATTCGTGTAGCAGTGGTCATGTTTCTGCCTTCAATGCAAAGAAGCTTGTTCTGGAAAGTTTCTTTCCTATGTCTTCCATGCTATATGACAACTGTGCAGTTCAGTGCTAGAAGAGGAGTCACATACATCTTAAAATTGCAAATTCTTCAAGAATTCCTCTAATTTTGGCACTGATTCAACATTCAAAGAAGGTGGAAAGCTATTTCTGTTCTTTTCAGAGTTAGACTTTCAAGGAGCTTTCCCTTTTAGTCTGGCAGTCTATCCCAATGAGAAGGTCGAAGGAGGGAAAGCTGATCAATGAAGATCTATGTGGTCACTTTGCAGTATCCTTTTCGTTCATCTTGGATGTAATGAAAGAGAGACTTACTTGAAATAGTGTCAGGTTCCTAAAGGATTGTCTTGATTTGTTGACTGTGTTCCTCTAATAGATGTCTGAGACTGGTCCCTTCAAAATTTTAACGTTGAGGTGTTCCTGACTTTGAATCTTAGCTTCTTTCTCCATATTAATTTTAATAGGTGGCTGATTTAATGCATCTCAATCAATTTTATTTTTCCCACCAGTATATGCAGGAGTTATTTTTTAGGTTGGCATTTTATTGGGTAGGTGAGCATTATGGCCTTCAAAGTTTCAAATCAGCTTCGTAGTTAAAACTTGTAGTTATCTGTTAAGTGTGTTAGTTGTAGCAAGAATTTACTGCAGAATTCTGGACTGAATCTAGGGCAAAAAATTTAAGTAGTAGATACTATGGGAATGTTAAGAACAGAGTGTAGTGCTTGAATGGTCTGCTGTCTTGATCGAGTTTTTGCACAGGAAAAAAAAATGACAGCTGCTTGAGCTGTTTTCTGTCTTCTTGCCCCTTGAGACAAATGCAATCCTGGATATGGAGTTTTGCCTTCAGGCAAATATCATCTCTGAATTGGGAACTGACTACTGTAATATATTTCTCCAGAGGGTATGTAACCCAGAAATGTATCCAAAATTGGTGGCATTTCCTGAAAATGCTGACTATTATCTTTAAAACTTTGTGTGGATTATTGTTGATGAGGTGAACTTGACAAAGGGCTGATCAAGTTTTGCTTGTCTTTCTGTTCCTTAGCTTAGTTTTCCTTGTAGTTAAAGAATGAAGTGTGCAAGTTTGCATATTTTGGCTTTACAAGAAGAATGGGGAGGGCAAGGACTCATATCTAAGAAGCCCAAGTAACAAACTAACAGCATTAAATACCTTCAGTCTAGTAGATTTCTATTTAGATATTGTAAAAGTATTCAAAAGTAGAGTTGTAGAACATATGTACCATCTTCTCTGCAAGTTGGGTTACAAAAAATTATGGCAACAGGGTGTAAAGCAAGGTGCTATTTGGTAGTGTACAGTCTGTATAAATCACTCCAAAACAATTTTTCTTCTGAAGAAAAATTGTCAACATATTCTTTCCACTTCCTTGTGGTTTGATTAGACCCTGGCTCGTTTTGCAAGGCTTACTAAATACTTATTGGCAAATGTTTGCTAATACAAGCTGCATCCTTGTGTATAATTTCTTAATAGTTGAAAGAGAGCAAGTCAATAAATTTGCTTCTTCAAATCTAAAAACCAGAAGGTTAAAACCTTTGAGAGACACCAGTGCATAAAGAAAAAAAGACCTTACTGAGGCTTTCTATGTGATGAGAACCTGATCATCTGACTTAAACTATAAAAACAATTCTTACTGTTAATTGATTTTTTTTTCTTTCGTAACATCTTGCCATTCTTAAACTGGTCTGAATTTTTTTTTTCCTGTCTGTAAACAGAGTTTTCTTAAGTTAATACTTCCATGACAAAAGCATGTTTTGCTATAGACACCTTTATAGCTGATTACATTAGTGGTGCTATTGAGACTGTCTGATTTGTCATATAAATGTTGATACAGCAGAATAATTCAAGATTACAGTCACTAGCTTTCTTTCTCTACTTGATAGCCTTATACACATTTACAGCTCCATGTAGTCTGCAGTTTAGAGGTACAGACCCAAACATATTGAAAGATTTCATATGCCTTTGACAAACTGGGGCTTTTCTTCTTCGTCTGTTGAATGCTATCCAATGGTAAATCCTGAAGAAATCGGCTGTATGAAACCAAACTCAAAAATTGTGGGATTATCTTTTCCACCTCCTTCCTTCCTCCCTTACATTTAACTATGAAATATTTATGTGCTTGCATCACTGACCACCTGCAGCATGAGCTGTGGTTCTGTGTTGCCACTTGCAGTGAGAAAACATTTCAGTGAGGTGATTGCCTAATTGGCAGTATCCAACTGAGAGTGAGGACAGAGCATAATGTACAGATGAATGCTTAACAACAGTTACTCCCAGGGGTGTAGCAAATGGTATCTTTAAGTGGAATGTGTTTGTTTTGAAATAATGGGTAGATAATCTTGAAAAGGTGAAAAGGAATAGCAAAATTGTTTTAAATGAAGACAGCAGAACTTTGAATCACTACTTTTGCACATTACAGGATGATACACAGTTGGAAATGTAATATCAACTCCTACTCTTGATTTCGGTGTATTATATAGAGAATTAGTGCTTTCAAATAAGACTTTAAAAAGTCTGAATATTTTGATTCATACTTTATTTGCTCATGTATTTTTACTGCTCTGTGGTGTATATTTTAAAAACTGTGTGAAGTATTTCTACTGGTAGCAGTTATTTTTTTTAATTTTTTTTTAGTGTACAATTGTTAGAGCTTCTTTACACTCTCATTCAGAATTCAATAATCTTTTATTGTTCAAGAAACAACTATAAAAGTCCTTTTCGAAAGAAAAAGGGCTTTTATTAGAGCCTGCTGGTTTTAGACTACTTGTAAAGTATCAGATGGGCGCTAATTGCACTTCACTCATTACAAATTGAAGTATAGTTTGTGATACAGTTAGTGCTTCTTGGCTAGAAAATAATCTGTTTACTAACAAGCAAAGAACATGGAATGACAATTTGTACGTAGAAACAACTCCAGCAGTGTGGAGTCTTTCATGTGACTATCCAGCATTATTTCTCCTTGGAGATTAAAAACTTCTTGACAGGCTGGTATTTTCTGTATGTGGACAGTAATTCTTTGTTAATCCTTTGCTCTGTGTTCTACTGCAGTGCCAAGCAGTTGTGGATTCAGTGCTAGTGTTGATCTTGCTGCAGCATCCAAGTATTCACTGGAAATAGTTTGGGATTTCAGTGATTATAAATTAGATCAGAGCAGGTTGGTTTTGTTTCAGCTAAGAAAGTATAAGTAGAATTCTGCTTTTAAGATGCTGCTTGTATGCACTGTCATGTTTTGAATGACTTCAATACTGTTTTTTAAAAAGTCACGGTAATATTGGAACTACTGACTGTCTTGTCAGAGTGACTTGGGTAGTTAGGTTCCCATAAACATCACAGCCCAACTGGGCTGGTTTTACATGAAATTAGAACTTGCATTTATTAATGAGTTCTGGGTTTAATTTCTTTGCACTGGGACTTTTTTTTTTAAGAGATAATAGCGATGGGTGGTCCCAGAGGTACCCAGCAGTAATAATGAATCCTTAATTTTGAAGATAAAGGATAGAATTCACTTGAAACTTAAAACAATCAGTGAGTGTAATTAAGTTTGTCAAAGTAGGTATTTCATCTGTAAGGAGTATTAGGTTGTGACCAAACTTAAATAAATTGTGCCCCTCTTGGAGTCATTTCTTCCTCTCAGTTAAATTAATGTTTACAACTCTTGACAAGGTAGTGCTACTGCCACAGTGAAGAATGATTTACTAATGCTTGAATGTGTTTGGATGCTTTCAGCGTGTTGAACATTAAAGTTCTCATTTCCTTTTTTTTTTTAGCAAGACCTCATGACTTCTTTGACGCACAAACACTGGATGCGATAAGACATCGAGCCATCTGCTTTAACCTCTCAGCACATATAGAAAGTTTAGGCAAAGGCCACAGTGTTGTATTTCACAGTACTGTAAGTATATGTATTATACATTCTGTTTGTTTACCTTCATGTCTAAGAAATCTAATGCTTCAGAAAGATTTCTGTTTTCCTCTTACTACTGTAGGTGTTTAACCAGATGGGATAGTGTTGGTAGTTGTTCTGTCTTACAAATTGAATAGCTTGTCACATTTCCTGCCTGATACACTTGGGGAAATACCTAACAGCCAGGGTGTGTTGCAGAAAAATTTGATCATGTCTTCTCAATAAGAGTGCAATTCAGATGGCATTTCCATAGTCCAGAGGGTAACTGTGTAATTTAATATTTAAAGGCTATGATATGAAATATTTGTTTATCCCTTTTATTCAGACTAGAAGATATAATTCTGAATTAATGTATTGTTTTTTCCCCCCTTCTTTAATAAACTTACCACCAAAATGTCAGTCAGTTGCTGGGAAGTGGCAAATACCAGGTGGGAAACTGGCCTTTAGTCCCATTTCCATATTCTGCGTTGTTAATTTCACTTGTGTTTGGTTAGGGGACGCATCAGCAGTAGTTTATAAAAATAGTTGAAAATAGGTAAAGAATTACTGAATTGGGGTATAGGAACCAGAAGTTCAAAAAGCTATATAACTTGAAGCTTTCTTAAGTCAATTGGGAGATAAGGGCAAGGTATAACATGTAGAGATGCAGCTGAAGGAAAGAATTAAGAGATGGGACAAAATGAGAAGGGAGTTGTTATTAAATTGGCAGGCTAGTGCATGATGGGCTGCAGTCCAGGGAGGGAATGCTGACTGCTGTGTCTTCAGCTATGGCTTTACCTTAACACATGACTCAAACTACTGAACTGTCAGCCTCATTCCATAAATAAAAGGCAATTTTATATGCATGAAACTTAGTTTGTCATGTTCTACAAGACTGTTGATTGTTAAACATATCTGTGGACTGTATTATAAATTTTTCCCAAATACTTACTCCTGAACTTTGTGCCTTGAGTACTAGCTGTGAGTGGAGATTTGCAGGTGGCTTAGCTGTTCCTGTATTTAAATGCCATTCTAGTTTTATTGTCCAACCTGTTTTTTACAGTACTGTGAGAAGAGCAGATACTGTTCCAATTCACAGCTTGCTTTAATCTGAAGGGTTATCCAGACAGACCGCTTGGTTGCAGAAGCTCACCTCTGGCTATTGGAATAATTCATAAGGAGGTAGAATTAGAGGGAGGAATATACTCTAAAACTACTTTGAATTAACTTGGTGAAAGTAGGGGAAATCCTTTTAGCTTATCTGTGCATATGTCACTTGAGATAGCAGGGGGTTGATTAGATCTGAAATATCACAGACCTCAGTTGTGGGGGAGGTTGTACCAGAGGGAGAACTGCTCCATGGTTCGAGCCTTGAGCTGCACTTTGCTATTACATTTTAGTGTGCTGATGCAGTTGTTTGGGCTTGTGCTGGACAGCAGCTATATTGATGATACTCAGGCTAAAATCTGTCTTGAAAAGGTAGATGGGAAACAGTTTTGTGGATGTACACCGTTATCCTCTGCTAATGGTCCACTTAGATGCACACACGTTTTGCTTAACTTGTAAGCATTTGGGACACTGAATTTGAATGGTGACTAGCTAAAGAGCATAATATGGTTTGTGAGGTCCACCTTCAGATGAAGAATAAAATGTGTACTCATCAGTGGCTTTAATTTAAAAGGTGGAATCTATGAAGATAAAATTGTATTGCTGTCTGAAAACTGACATAAATTATGTAGGTTTATTTTTTTTTTTGGCAGCAGAAGAATAATGTTAGCACAGTACTTTATAGGGTGGATATCCTAGTGAAAAATTACTGACTTGAATAATGTCTAAGTAGTCACTGTAAATACCTTTCATCTCCTATGAAAAGGCACTAACTCTGTTTTTTTAAACCCATCCTTTTCTTGTTAGATATGTAAAGTTGTAGAAAGTCATTCATAAAGCCTTTTTGAAGAAAAGTTGCTGCCATCCAGAGTTCAGCTTTGACATTATTATGAATTTTATTCCACCTTTTTTTAATTTGAGTCAAATTCCTGGTACTTTGATTCTTTGAATTGTCAGATGGAAAAAAGCAAGTATTCTCCTTGAACCGAAAGACCAGATATTATAATGGTTAGAAAATGTAACTTATAGGTTACCCTGTCTTCCAGCCATCCTGCAGTTTTTTGAAATGGCTAGAGTTCATTCTCTGAGATATTTGAATACTTAACTGTTTTTCACTCATTTTAGCTGTTTTAGGTATTTCAGTTCAGTGGTTACACATATTGATACTAGTTAACATGTTTGGAAATGCAGTAAGTGAATAAGAATGCATACCAAATGATAAGGTGTCATTTTTATTCCTTTTGCCAGAAGAGGTCAGCAGAACTCCACTTCTGATTTGAGACAGTTTGGATATGTTTCCTTCACAGAGAGAAACTCGAATTAAAGTTCCCTTTTCTTTCTGGGACAGTGCATAAAATTTAGAATATATCATAAGAGGTTTTTTTTCAGATAAAGCTGTATTGTGCATACATCTGCTGGCTGAGTTGTACTTTTCAGTGAGAAACTTAAATGGACTGAAGTTCTTTATAAAACAGTTTGTCTTTGAAGCATCATTATTGTGGACATGCTATATTTATTCCATTTCAGTTGTAACTTTTGCAGACTTGACCATAATACAAATAGTTTTTTTCGATTGCTTTTTTTTGCAACATTTTTGCAATTTTGCATTTGTCTGCATCATAGCTGTGTTTCTGACCCCAGCCTGCCTATGATGTGGGGGAATATTCGTTGTGCTAATTCTGAAAAAAGTAGATGCTTTTTATACTTTTATAAAAAATTCATTAAATGTGACAATGTCAAAATATATGTGGGGGAAAAAGCAATGGCAGCAATCAATGCCAGATTTCTGTTATCTCGTGAAAGCTAACATAGTACTTTAATATCAAACAAAAATACACTTGTTCCTTGTATGGAGAGAGGATATTTTCTCAGGCAAAAGCAAACAAAAAAAAAAAAAAAATCATGGGCAGACAGACTCAGAGGAATTAAATTTATTGTCGGTCAAATCAGAGT